TGAATGTCCACTTTGTATCTGTGTATTCAAAGTGGTTAGGATAGATATATAGTTACATTCTCTTAATGAATAGAGGAATTTGCTCTAATGGTGTTTGTAAATAGGATATCATGTCTGCATCTTGTACAGCAAGATGCTGACCACTGGGAAGAGTGTGCAATGTGTTAATTATTGAAACTGTCCTACCAATTTGGTTTGAAACTGTCTCATTGCTGTTTGTTTCTCAATAAAATTATGGAATAAATAAATAAGAATACAGCGCATGCTTAAGCTGAGATCTGGTATCAGCAACCTGCATGAACAAAAATTGAGAGAAGGTGAGAAATAAGCAGAAAACAAGGTGTACACCTTACAGCCAAGACCCATGTGGAGAAATAAGACAAGGATGTTTGTCCTGGCTGGGGGCATAATCCGAATCCTTAAAGAAAAAAGTATGAATGAACAATATTATTGACTATGACTTTCACATTTCTGAAGTCATTTTCTCAAAACTGAGGAGCTTGTGACCCAGTCAGTGATCACCTGAGAGCCCAGTGGGCACCTGGGTATCCGGAGGCCAGCAGGAGACCAGTGGAGCTCTAAGTAGACTTGACATGTCACTCTTGGCATGGAGCACGGCTTTGTGAGTCAGGCCCAAGACAAAGGCTGATTACTGAGGAGCGGAAGGCAGAATTCGCATTAACATTTTAGGAAAAATAAATGATTATTAGAGATAACATTAAGCCAAGTGCCTAGAGTTCCACTGGAGGTAGCTTCTTCATCTTCAGTGAGTACAAGCCTCTCACAGGTCTTGAAGGTACTGCCCAAGAGAAGAAAAGACTTTTAAAAACTCTTATATCACTCCACTCACTTACTCAGCAGTTTACACTCTTTGCTACTTGATTTTTGTATACAAGAGTACAAGGGGCTAGGGAGATAGCTCTGTGGTCTAAGTGCCTGCCTGGCAAGCACAAGGACCCAGGTTTGATCTCCAGAACCCCAGGTGTGCCATACCAGCCACCAAAATCAAGTGTGGTGGTGCACACCTGTAATCCGAGTGCTGGGGAGGCTGAGACAGGAGGATCACTATGAGTCCAAGCTGCATAGTGAGACCTTGCACCAAATAAATAAAGAAGTAAAAGATTAAAAAAACCACAAAACGTGCTCATGTCATTTCCACATAAGCAAGTAAAGGCCTGGTTTTTCAAATGCAGAACTGAATGGCCTCTCTCCTGGGAGGCACACAGAACTTTTAAGCCTTTCACTTGTATTCATTTGACCTGCACAGAACTGTTTATTGTTATTTGTTTCTTTTTTTAATTTATGCCAAAGTAAGCTCTTAAAAAAAAAACAAGGTTAGCAAAAACATTTTAAAATGAAATTACTAAAAAGGCATTTAGATAAGTATATCAACCTAATACTTCAGTTGCTTTGATGGATTTGGCAAGCATTAACAATTGTTTATTTATTTTTCTTAAGAATAACTTCAATCCATGCTTAAGATTGTCAAATGTGTGTGGGCAGCACTTCTTGGACTCTTTTACCTTATGTATACTAAGCCACTAAGAGCTGATCTTAGTTGGCTCAGTGGAATAAGCACTTCCCAGGCAAGCACAAGGGCCTGAGTTCAATCCCTGGTTCCGCAAAAAAAAAAAAAAAACAAAGCTGATCTTTTATGATGTTATGAAATAACAGCTAAAGTGCTTTGCAATGCTCTCTGTTGCATTTCTGGTTACTTTATTTAAACATTAGCTTTCTTATTAATATTTCTTCATTTTATTTTTTAGGGAAAGGTCTATAGGGTGTTCAGTGTCTCACTACTAGATCAGTCTCATAGTGATCCTCCTGTTTTCAGCCTCCCAAGAGCTGGGATTACAGGCACGTGCCACCACGCCCAGTCTCAATTGCTGTCTCAGCATGCCTCAGGGGCAGGACCAGCATGGCAGGCTTGGGGATTGAACTCACAGCTGCTGTGCCTGCTTGCAAGCGCTTTAATCCACTGAGCGGATTTAGCACTTTAATAGAAAGTACTTGAGTAGAACTAGGACTCAGACAAAAAGGGTTTTTAAAAATTTATTTATTTTTTATTTTTAGTACCAGGTATTGAACTCAAAACCTTGCACTTGCCAGGCAGGTGCTTATGCTGCTGAGCTATCTCCCTGGTTCTAGAAAGGTTTTCAAGTAGAAAGGTAAATAAATAAATAATCATAGTTTTCTAATGTTGTATTATTGAACAGATTTTAATTTTTTATGAAATAACAATTAGTCTAAAATGTCATTGCTTTAGAGGCTGCAGCCACTGTCGCTTTATAATTGGATTTGCCTCTGCGTTGCTGAGTTAGTTACCCGTTGACACCACACAGCGCTGAGCAGTGAGGAAGACCCTGCTCCTCCCCTTGAGGTGCTCCCAGCTGGGCTATAAACACAGTGCATTCATCATTTGTAATGGAACCTGCAGGCGCCACAAAAGAATATTTAAGTGACTCTCTAAGCTCCGTGGGGAGCACGTGATGTTCCCTGTGGCTTATAAATCATAGTATCTAGCACAGTAGCACAGGGCTGGGTTCATAGCCCAGTATATAATTACTAACTATAGTTTCCATATAAATTTATACTCACTTAACACTTTCACTTTTATGTATATATTTTCAGTAGTTAATCTAACTACAGGCCATGCATGATGGCATATGCCTATAATCCCAGCCCTGAGAAGGCTGAAGCAAGAGGCTCCTTTCAAGTTGGAGGCCAGGAAGGCCTCTACAGCAAGTTAAAGGTCAGCCTGGACTACATGGTGAGACCTTGTCTCAAGTACATGCATATGTACATATATCCACATATGTACATACAGATGTACATACATATACTCTATAAAGATTTCATACTGTATTCTTTCTAGTAGTTAAAGTTTAAAAAACTTACTGTTTTATACAATAAAACATAGGTTTAAGTCAGTTACAGAATTTTGTAAGCCTTGGTCTAGGACTATGGAGTACCTTTTATTATATTCTTTTACATTTGAATAAATTAGATTAAATTCCAACCATTTAAAAGCACGTACATTCTGTGCTGTTGAACACATCACCTGTACATTTACACAAGTCTGTGGGCATCTTAGCCCGTGGCAGAGATCAGCGTGAACACCTGTAAATTCAGGTCTCACTTGATGAGGGCACTCAGGGAAGTCGAGGGGCCCTCACTTTCTGACCATAAAGCATTTGATACTGTCAGCCATTGCTGACAGTAATTCTATCTTAATCAGAATTTTGCTATTGTTTATGCCTTTCTTTGTTAGTTTCCTTTCCTGTACTGTCACATTACTAGTAGTTGCAACCTCTCTCCCAGACTCCAGCCCTGCGTGCTTGTCTGTTGGACATGTCTACCTGGTTGTCCAACTGGCAAAGCAGACTAACACATTCAAAAGGGAATCAGCTGTGCATAGTAGAGCACAGCATGGAATGAGAGACCAAAGACCTAGGTTCAAGCTGTGTAGTCTTGAAACAGCTGTGCAGTCCCCTGAACTGTCTTCTTGCTTTTCTCCCTGCTGAGGCAAAATACCTGACACCCAGAGTTAAGGGAGGAAAGTTTTATGTAGCTCTCACTTTGTAGAGGTTTTAATCCACAGTTGGCTGGCTCCAAGGCAGGGCAGCATGGCAGAGGAGAAATCGCTAATGGTGGATCTGGAGGAGACAGCAAAGCAGCAAGCAGCAAGCCAAAGCAGCGCCCCTCCTTCTGTCCCTTATACTGTATCCAAGCTACCTGCTTTTAGGGCAGGTAGCACTCACAGCAAGACTAGGGTATCCCTAGTCCTAACATGGCACCATTTATCCCCGCATCACAACCTTAATCCCATCATCACACACCCTAGATCCAGTCACCTCCAAAAGCCTCACTTGGGACTGTATGCGGATCTAGACACAAGATAATCTGTGAGATGAGAAAAATAATCTACCAACAGATGTTACTCATAATTGTCTTAGTTGCTTTTTCAGTACTGAGACAAAATTACACCTGACACCCAAAATTCAAGGGAGAAAGGTTCATTTGGCTCATAATTTCTAGAGGTTCCAGTCCATAGTTGGCTGCTTCAAGGCAGGTTGGCATGGCAGAGGGGCATCACAGAGGAGAAACCGAGGCAAGCAGGCAGGCAAGAGCGCATTGGTCCTCTTTCTATTAGTTGCAGACTGCCTCCCCTAGGGCAGGTGTAGCACTCACACACAACCCTTAATCCTGGCCATAACTATGTCAGACCACTCAGTGGCCCACTTTACTAATCCCACACCCTTAATCACACACACTAGCTTCAGCCACTTGTAAAAAGGCCCTAGGACTGCGTGAGGCTTTGGGGTGACACATGTACACAAACCATAACATTTCACCTTTGGAACCCTGAAGAAACTGGGATTAAAGGTATGTGATTGCTAAATCAGTCTGCTGCTTGGTTTGGCATAGTTCTGGCTAGAATTAAGGATGTGAGTGCTACACCCGCCCTAGAGCGGATTGCCAAATATAACTTGCTCCTGCCTGACAGACTAACCACATATCTTTTTTTAAATTAATTTTATTGAGAAACAAATAGCAATGAAACAGTTTCAAAACAGGTTAGTAGGACAGTTACAATAATTAATACATTGCATATTATTGTCTTCATTGTAGTTATTCATAGTACAAGATGCAGACATGATGTCTAAACACTATTAGTACAAATCTTTCTTCTCATTGAACTAAAAGGAAGTAGCTGTATACCTATCCTAACTAATTTGTGTGTATATATATATATATCTTTTTTCACTACAAAATGGTCCTTCATTTATATCTCCTTTTTTGTTTAACTTTGTCAGAGATGGGTATTCCATTGCCATTCAAATATTGTAGGTGTGTGAATTCAGCAAAATAATCCAATATAGTCCGGTAGTCCATAATAGTAGTGGATTATCTGTAGGACTGGAAGTGTCAGAAGTTGTTGACTTGATCCTTTTACAGCTCAGCATATTAATATGGTTTATACCTCATGTTTATACTTTTCTGCTGGATGATTAAGACCAAGATAAAGCAAGACCTATAAAGAGAAATGTAACTTCTGTATCTGTCAAGGTCAGTCCATATCCTTGATTCCAGTACCACACAGCCTAGATCTGGACCCCTCTGAAAAGCTCCCCATGATTCCACGAGGCTTGGGGGAATATCTAGACATAAACCATAAGAGTAGGTTTAGATAAGACCATGTGAAAATATTTCACTTTGAGTTTTTATGGTTTTGTTCTGTTTAGGTTTTGCGCTCTCTGTCTCTCTCTCT